CCCCCCCCCTTTTTTTTGTTGGTTTCACTTTTTCTTTGTAACTTTTCAATGTTCTTGGTTTCTGTAACTTAAACTAGGAAAGGATAAAATCTGCAAATTAATGCAGGTGGTGAGAGGTTATCTATTTTCCAATTTATTCATTACTCAGTCTTTAGGTAATCTGCATTTCTTTTGATGTGCTTCTTGGTTCCTTCTAAGATGATGCCAAATGGGTGCAAAAGTCTAGCATTCACTTCTGGTTTCATCTCTAGCTCTTTGATACTCTCAAAGTAAAACTCTTGTGCACTGACAATGCATAATTTATATACAACATCAAGTTAAAATGATCTACAATAATAGGTAACTCTTAATAATAAGCCTAGTTTAGAAACATAGAAAATAAGAAAATGGCCTGTTTTAACAAGTTATAATGCACCAATAATGTAAATTACAATTGTATTGTATACAAGTGAACTTCTTCTCTATCTTTGACCATGTAGATTTCATGCGTACAATAAAATCCTCAACTGCTCCGGTCTGATTGTACGGCTAACCGCTTAAAGTGTGTTCAGGAGTCCAAATTGGGAGCAAGTCCAAACGATATCTAATTTGAAAAGATACAGTGTTACTGTTGGGTGTGCGAACAAAGTACCACATTAATACCTGAAAAGATTGGGAACCTATATATAAGGTATATAAATCTCTTAATGGTGTAAGGTCTTTCGGGAAAAACCATGTGGGCTTGACCCAAAGCGAACAATATCATACCATTACGAAAAAATATATAATTGTGAAAGCTGTAATGAATGCATGTAACGTTATTACCAAAAAAATGCATGTAACGCGTGCATGTGTCAGCACGTCTTTATTCTCGTCCAAAGTATTCGTTAGGTATCAGAAGCCAGGTTCGACGGGACGAGTATGGAGATGGCAAAGTGATGATGCAGGGCCGTGCACACACAACACAAATCTAGTTGCAGGCTTCGGTTGCCATAATACTCTAACCATGTGGGTGGCACAGTGAATCTCGAAAATTGACCCGTGGATCGTGGCAATGGGTCACATGGAACTTAGTTCGAGGGGGAAACCCGTGAATTATTTCGACGGAGATATTGTTGGGTGTGCAAACAAAGTACCACATTGGTAGCTGAAAAGATTGGGAGCCTACATATAAGATGTGGGGATCTCTTAATGGACCTTTTAAGGAAAACCGTGCGTGCTTGGCCCAAAAAGGACAATATCATACCATGTTAAGAGTGTATTTGGGCTAGTTTAGCCCAACAGTTACTTAGCAGTTTGGTACCTTGTATTTCTAACATTGAATCACCTCAGTTTTCTTTGATTTTTATGTAATCCCGTATATGTTTTTATAGTAAAAATTACACGGGGTGCCCTATTTGGTTGCCCCCATTTAACCTGTACCCATTTTTTAAATTTTTATAATTTGTACCCACTATTTAAACAACTTCAAGTCTTTATTTCCTCTTTCTTCTTCTTCTTCTTGTTGTAACAATGATTTTATATGGTATTTGTGAATATATTTTAAGGTAGTTTATGATGTTTTACAGTGGTGATGTATTGTGACACTTTCTTTTGCACTATTGCTTATGGTTTCTTCTTTTTCTTCTTCTTAATTGCAAATGGGTTTGTTAGATTTGTTGTTGTTTGGACAAATTGATGATTGGAATTTGTTCTTGATGATATTTGGAGGTTATGTTTCAAATTTGAGCTCATTTGGAGTTATTTAGGTATTAAATCGTATATTGGATTGTTAAAATTCGAAGATCAAATTTCTGTTTCTAGGCAATTTGCACTTCAGGCCTATTTGGCCTTATATGCATGAAAACGTTGGTTGCACTTCAGACCTTTTTGCCTTAAGTGCATCTGAAGTGCAATATTTCACTTCAGACTTATTGGCCTTAAGTGTAGGAAAACATTTGTTGAACTTCAGACCTTTTGGCCTTAACTGCAATTTCCACTTCAGATTTATTGGCCTTAAGTGCATGAAACCATTGGTTGCACTTCGGACTTATTTGGCCTTAAATGCATCTGAAGTGCAATTTTTCACTTCAGACTTATCGGCGTTAAGTGTAGAAAACATTTGTTGCACTTCAGATCTTTTGGCACTAAGTGCATCTGAAGTGCAATTTTTCACTTCAGACTTGTTGATCTTAAGTGCATGAAACCATTGGTTGCACTTCAGACTTATTTGGCCTTAAGTGCATCTGAAGTGCAATTTTTCATTTCAGACGAAATTTTTTAACTTCAGACTCAATTTTTCATCTGAAGTGCATCTCACTAATTTTTTACAAAGTGAGTATAGGTTCAATTGTAACCTCAAAACTGGATATAGATGTAAAGACCCGTTTTTATAAAACCACAAATAATTATGTAATTACGGTAATAGTCGTTTTCTATCTCCTACGATAGAGTCGGGTTTAGTACTGCAACTAGTAAAAATTAGGAAGACATAGTACCAGCCAAGAACCATTTTAAGTTCATAGAAACATCAAACATCAGTCGTATGCACCAAAAGAATGTTCCTAGATTTGACCTTGAAACATTTTGTCATAGCTCTTCTTCTTCTTCTTCTTTTTTTTTTTTTTTTTTAATTAAGCCATTAACCTCCGGCAGTGTGCCTTTGGTTATGGAGGATTTGATTAGATCCCTACCATGTCAATATAAATACACCAAAAAAGTACAAAACCAGAAAGGGATATGGACTTTACCTCCGCGAGAGAAGATTGACTAATTCAATCTTTCACAAGGAAGAGATATTCATAATTATACTCTTCCAAAAACAAAAGTATATACAAATTTCAAGTGACAAAAAAATTAGTTTTGTCATATCTTCTTCTAATACTCGGTAGTTGCCCATGGGCTAAGCGATTAATCTTGTCATCATCTATGAGGATGAGGTGGGGAGCATAGCAAGACAAATTCTCAATTTTAATGTTGTACTCTGAAACGGACATAATATTCATCTATCTAGTTGAAATGATCCTTTCGCCTCTTTAGGTAATTGGTTGAAAGAGGTTCAAAAAGTACTATTTCCATATGACGAAGCTAATTTGGAAGTAACCGTTGGAAGTAAGCATTGTTGGCAACCATTTTATTGTTTAAGTGAGTAAAAGAATGATTCTTAGCATCTTCATTGCCTTTTTAATTTTAATACATTTACTAAGTATTAAGGAGAATGCTCGTTTAGTAATTTTGTCAAACCCTCCAGTTTAGGAATGAAGTCAGAAGACCAATTAGAAGTCGGTGAACTATCATTTTGATTTCAAGGGTTGGAGGATTAGGCGCAGTAGCAGAGCTAGCGTGCTGATTACGGGTTTGGCCGATCAGTTTTGGTACAAACTTTATATTTGGTATTTCATTCGATGTATTTGCATTGGATTCCGACTAATTCACATTCACGTGGCATAAAGCTCATTAAAAATCAAAAAGTGCTCCTTATTACTTCATCCGTTTCAATTTATGGGAATCAATTTCCTTTTTAGTCCGCGCCAAAAAAATGAACTCTTTCCATATTTAAAACAATTTTCCTCTATGCAATGATTTACAGCCACATTACACCACAAGTTTAAAAGTCTCCTCTTTCTTCTTAAATTCGTGCCAAATCAAATAGATCTCGCGTAAAGTATCATATCCAGCCCACCAGGGCCACCATAACCTTTGGCTACACATATATTACTTCCACAAGTAGTACTTCAAGGTCAAATAAACTCTACCAGTTTAGTTTAGCCCCTGAATGTCCCAAAGAGCTGTTTAATTAACAATGTAGGCACCAAAGTACAAAGAATACAGCCAGAATCTACAGTTGGAAAGTGAAGCATGCTTAGACCAAAAATAAAAATAAACTACAAAGAGGGCATGCTGCAGTCAGTGGAGCGCATGTAAACTATATGTATATGTGCGTGTAATAAAAAATACAATATTTTTGTACTTGAGTGAAATTCATTTTGTAT